ATTCAAGAAGTCAATTTTGGTTAGACCGAATCAAGTTACCAGGGAACTTCTCAGGGAAGCTTACTTCATTGGCGTAGGTACAACGTTCGCAGGCCCATTGTTCTTGCAAAGACTCGGACATTATATCTTGTGTATCTTGAGAAAATTTAAGTTTAACAGAAAAACTCGTCTGATAGAAATTTTAAACAACGAAACACGATCGTTTTTCCTCCAAAATGCTTTGAGTTCCTTTAGTCCGAATCAATCATATGTTTTTTACTGCGCTTTTCAGGTACATGTAGAATAAATAATGAATCGCACGAATCAATTTATTTGAGCATTTATCACGTGCAATGTACATATGGTGTAATACAAGACAATTTCTACAAGCATTCTTCACAACAACAACATAGACAAGCACCAAGGGCACTATCAAAAAAAAAAAAGAAAGAAAGAAATGGATCAGAACAAAAAATAAAAAGGAATTAGTCGAAAAAGAAAAGTACCATCCCCAACATAGGCCGGAATTATCTTTTTTAGGAGGTGGTTGTTGAACGACTATCGTCTGAGGTTGAGGGGTTGGTGGGTAATGATGTCCTTTGAAAAAACGATAACCATGAATGATCTGAAGTGGATCTCCATGATAACTTTTTTTTAATGAAGCTACCTTGATTTTGGGAATGACCCGGTGGGGCACCATAATAACCCTGGTTCTCTGGCGGTCTACTATTTGGGGGCGGAGGAGGATAGTATCCACCCTGATCGTAATACCCGCGGTCCGTTTGGTTGTTCGACATATTTTATGATTCAGAGATACCTTCAAAGCGCAATTTACGAGTATTTATAAATACGCTCACATTTACACCACCTTTTTACATCAAAATTACGTATTTTTTTAATTTGCAAGCCGATAGAATGGTGTACCATTAACTTTATCAATAATCCTCGGGTCTTTAAAAAAAATGATATATGAAAGGTTTGTGACCAATGATTTTATACTTATAACTTGGGAAAATCCTTATTATTCTTTTAAAACATATCATCTCCAGATGTAATCATATCTTTAGTTGAATCATCATTACTTTTTTTTATTGCTCCTGTGTAATTATTTTATCAGAATAATATAATTAATATATGACGATTGATCATAGTCTGTTAATGCTATTTCTTAAAAAAATAATTACACCTCTGAAGGCGACGAAATGTCTTTCGGCCCCTATTTTTAAATATTACGTATGCACAATTATAGGGTCCAAAAAATCCCAGTCTGCCCTCGAAAATAATGACCATGTATGCACTGTATAGCGTGTCTCGATAGTAATTACAATAGATCGAGTTATTTTTAATGTGCAAATTATATAAATCGTTATTTGTTTCTTCTTCTTTGAATAGCTGTTTAAAAAATAATTTATTAAGCGAAATTTTTTATTAATGCATCAAGCAAAGTTACTCATCTTTAAAAATTATGTTGAATTGTTTATTAAAATAGGTTTTCAAAATAATGATAAAATTGATTTTTTGTTAACATATTATTATTATTATTATTTATTATTAAAAATAACTTTTTTACATGCAAGTTATTATTTTCAAAAATAAATAAAAATCTTTATTTTCTTTATAAATTATAATACAGTATATACAGTATTTCTATTTTTTTTATTTAAAATACATAAATCAAAAAAATTTTTTGTTGATTTTTTTTTATTAATTCAAAATTTTTTTACAATCAACTTTAATAACTTGCTTAAATATTGTAAATTAATACTGTTGTGATATGATTATTGCCAAATATTATAATATGATTGTTAAGATCAAATTTAGTAATAAAGGAGAGTTTGAGAGA